TTAAAAGAAATATAAATATAAGTATAAGGTATTAAATTTTTAGTTTAGTAATATTTATTATATAATTAATTAAAAAAACGGTATAATAGATTGGGATTCACGATTTACCTTACGCTATAGGTACGTATGGCTGAGCGCTCCACCCTCTGCGCCCTCTATCTCAAAAACGGTTCGACGTATAAAAAAATGTTGTAAACAAAATTTGTAGAGAATTTTATTCTCCACAACTTTTATAATAAATGCAAATACGATAGAAGGCAGATAAATCTAGATATTCTCAAAAAACAGATTTTTGCGACCTTTGACCTTGAATATCTAAGGCCGCTCACACGTTGGCATATGTGACTTTTGAGACAACATTTGTAATGCTAAAATAAAGGTTTTCACAAAAGTTCAGCTTATTCCGTTAGATTCCGAGGTTGATCCCTTTTTTTGACTAAGATGACTGTACTATCTGGCAATACAATTTGAAATTCAAACGACTGAATGACATCGTATATTTGACATGCACTCTAACGCCATCTGCACTTGAACGGATAAAGTGGATAAATTTTGACAAGATTTTTAAATAAATAAAATAAATCAAATTTAAACAGGAAAAATTCAAATTTTAAATTCAATTTTGTGGATGCTTTAGGCTTAATGTAAATAAAAAATAGCAAATAATAGTGGAATAGTAACTTTTATACCGAAACCCATCTAGTTTTTGCCTTTTTAATTCAATAATTAAAAAACGTCAAAAAAATGGTTATTTTTATCAAAAAAAAAATTAGGTTTTGTATTCAAAATGTTATACCATTGGGCTAAATATTTTCTATTTGATGTATACCGACGACAACAGTACATTCAAGACATATTTAAGGCTAAATAATATAACAAATAATCAAAATATTAACAAAAAAACTAAATTTTGAAATGATTTGGTGGAGCATTTTATTTCGCAATTATTCTGAATCCTAGACGTCCTGGAGAAAAACAAGTGGCATTTTTGAAATCAGCGGCCCAAAATTAGGTAATCTAGATAGGCGTAGTTAATGTTAGTAATTCAAACTATCATAGTGTTATTCTCCAGTCTAAACCGTCCAGTCCATAAGCATGTTTCGGTTTCGCCAGGTTCCCTTACATTTTTTAAGGCATTCCATAGGTCAAAGTAGTTTGACTTTTGTGTTGTGTTGTAATTGTGTTATTCAAATGTTATGTCGCTTACTACTAACCAGGGACTTGTAACGCTTTTCTGTTACGGTATCCGATACCAGGTATCGGTCTTATAAGGATCGAAATTAAAATGAATCGAATAATATGCGAAAATGATAACGAAACTTTAAGAAATAATAATTAATAGTACCCAAATTAGTAACTAAATCTTTATAACGGTTAACAAAATTGTTATCGAAACTGTTTATATGTTTAAATACGGGATATTGAATCAAAACTGGTAACATTAACTGAGAAACGAAACTGTAACCAAACGTTAAATTTTTACAAAATGCACCACAACACAAAGTAAATTAATTAATTAATAGTATATTGTGCGAATTCTGGGAGAAAGAGGAGATTCCTTTTGACACATATAACTGTCAAATATTTTTAACCTCACTTTTTTCCAATTTTAACCTAAATCTAACTTTAGCCCGTGGGCGAAATGCTATTTTGCTTACCTGTGGCGCGAGTGAGTCACCCGAGTAAGGTGCCTAGGCAAATCAGGTTAGAAATCCGCGAGTAAAACGAGGGTGACGCAGAAAGTCAATAAATTAGGTATACCTGACGACCATGTCACGCAGGTATGAGTATATATTTCTTGCGGTAATTGAATAAAACATTGTTTTTTAAATATACGGTTTCTTTGAGCTCCTTTCATAATGCTGACATATGTGCCCCACAAAATATATGATTTTGTACATTTCACATTATATATGAACTCTGGCAAGGTTGCCGTATTTCATAATGTAAAAATATATTATTGCAATGATGTGGTGTCCTTTAATTTTTTCTTTTATTTGAAGTAAGGTTGTGAAGTGGGTTTAGGACGTAAAATAAAAACAACTTCCTTTTTTTAGGAAATATTTTCGTCTATGTCTATGGACATTCTCAATAGATAACAAACACATAAAGTTATAGTAAATATAATACTGTATATACATATACATTAGGGTGTTTTTTTTTTTTTACGTCATGAAGTATATCTTCTTTTTAAAGTGTTTCGTGTTACAAAATACCGCGCGCGCCTAACGTTGGCTAACGGAGGGTTCAGATGCAAGTCGGCACGGGTTCCCGTTTATAGAATGAGCTAAAATTTTTACTGGGAGTATATAAACACGTCATAAATATAATTAGAGGGTATGCGTAAAAAAATAAAAATAAGGGACACCCTAATATACATATATAATTTAGATTTAGATCAATTCCTTTAAATATAACAAAACAATAACAAAAGGTAACAATTAAAACCCTTTAAATATAGTTAACAAACGAAAATTCTCCACATCAACTAAATAAACCACATATATGTGGTTTATTTAATATATTAATTAAACAATCTAAAGGTATTTTGCTTGTACATTGAAATGGTAATATGGTTGTATTGTGTATTTAAATTTTAAGTATCTATCTTACAATTTACTGTGTTATTTAATAATATGTGTATCATTTCACTTATTGTTCGCTTCATATAGTGACTTTCTATGTCTAAAATTAAAAAAATAATAATTCAAAATTATGTAATGTGTTTTGTGATGTTGAGCTAAAGCTGTTTTTTCTTTTTTGTTTTTCTTGGAATCTCTACAGTCAGATTTGTGTTGGTATAGTCTGTTTTTTAAATATTGTTTTGTCATCCCTATGTAACAGTCTGCACATGGTATTTTATATATTAAATTTGATTGTAATAAGGGAGGTGTTTTATCTTTTAATTTTGTAATTTGATGCCTGATTGAGGAACTTTTTGACACCTTTTACACTTATCATCCATGATAAACAGGTTTTTTTATAGTTTACACTCACTGTTCATTACATCACACACTTAAAACTATCTCATTTTTAATAATTGTTTTAACGTAAAATCCACTTAAAACAAACATTAATTGGGAGCACACCTTGCATTGCCGTAAGGCGCGAGTTCATGACCTGGTACCTGGTTTAAATAACTGTACACTATTTATATAGAATTATAATAATTATAGGTAATTTTATATAAAAATACTGTAGCGGGTGCCACTCTGGATCTCGGAATGTCCTTGGTGACTCATCGCCGGTGAATCAACACTTGAGCGTTCGAGAGCGGTGTGGAGCTCGCTTGAATGTTCGGGAAGGCGCTTGCGTGACTTGGGTCACGTACGCATTGAGTATATAAGGCACAGCGAAGCGTCGTAGAGTTAGTCAAGCTTTGGTACTCGCGAAGAAATAAATTAAGAATACGTGCAAATAAATAGACTCTATAATTGGTGTCAGAAGTGGGATAAACAGAAGGTGAAGACGGTGCGGGAATGTCCAATACCGAACAACCGATTTAAGAAGCTTTCTTTGATTATGCACCCCATGCATGTAAAGACGATATTCCCAAATTTAATTTGGACGGGTCACCTTTCTTTTGCGTCACCATATCCAAGTTGTTAAAATCTTTCGATGTTGCGTCTGTTGTCAATGACCATGCTGAATGAATTTAGGGATGCGATTTGCTCATCAATATAGTTCTTCTCTTCCTGAATATTTTGTACGGTTTCCTTTAAAAATTGAAGTCTGAGCGGTCTGCAGTATCGTACGGAACTTGGTTTCGGGTTTTTTCAAATAATGTGGTTGCAGGATTCGTCGTCTACAGTTGTCATTTGCAGTGGGACAATTAAAGTAAAAAATGTAAAGGCATCAGAGCTGTCCATATCCTCAAACTTTTGTTTATATTGCTGCGAGGACGATCCATCGCAGCCCCATTTCAATATTAATTTAATATTGTTGGCAGATGAGGCATCTAAAGATGTTATAATGGCACGTTGTGATTCGAATAATCTCGCAGTGGTATGGTTCAATAGTGCCTGCAACTGTACTTCTGCGCTGGTTTCCGTTACTTTAATTGATATCAGTGGTGGATAACAACCTTGCTTGGCATCCAATACTTTATGATAGCTCGGATAAACTGAAATCCCCGTATTTTCGTTCGTAGTAGTCCTAACAAATTTATAGTTCTCCTTGGTCATTTTGCAGCTTATAATCATATTTAAAGCTACATCTGCAGAAATTTCTTGGGGTTTCGGTTCAGTTGAGGACCTGAATGCTGCCCGGTATCGATTGGCTCTCTTAGGAGTGTGGTGGTCACATCCTTCAGGACTTGTGCTGCGGCATGGGCCCCAGAAGATCGCAGACTCATCTGCGTTGCCAACGATAATTGCTCTGTTTCGTATGAATCCCTAACATCGGTCGCTTTTCGCCGTTTACTGCGCTCACTCGAGGACTGAAAATCCATTAAAGGTCTGCCACCAAGGTTGGAGCTGGTGCTGGCTTTGGATGGCGGACTTCTCTCAATCTGATTAACAAGGGTGACTTATTTTTCAAGCCATTTGCCATTGGTAGAATAAAACTGTTCCCTATGTCTATGTGCTGCGCTCCATTTCTTCCTAAACTGCATTATTGCCATTTGTAGTACTTTTTTACAATTTTGAGAAATGGTGAAAGGGCCTCCCTGTGTTTCTTCGATGTTGTTTTCAATTATTGTATAAATATCTTTATAATCTGAATTCAACGTACATTGAATCAGTTCAAATAATTGGCGCCGTGTATACACGATTTTTTCCAAAATATGACCTGTAATAAATAAATAATATTTTGTAATTGTTGTTTTAAATGTAAATGAATTTTATAATGATTGTTAAAAGCTAAAACTTATACTAAAATAATAAAAAACGAAGTTTCTCAAAACATTTTTTAAAAGTAAATCAAAAGCATTAGCTATACATTTAAATTTCCCGCCAAAACTACTTTTGTATAATTTGCCCAAGACGCAAAAAACCCGCAAAATGTTTTTTCGAGGATCGAAAGTAAACCCTTCAAGGATTGTTTTGCCGTTAAAATTAAAGTTTACATTTGTTTACATTTTTTTAATTCACTAATGAAAGTTTTAAAACGGGAAAACAAAAATAAGGCGCATTTTTAGTATAAGTTTTTAGGCAGATAAATTGTTGTAATGTTAATTATAAATATATCAAATTATTCTACATACCTTCACGAATATTTCCAATTTGCAAATTTTTAATTAGGCTTCAAGTTTTACCACAATTTACACTAATGTGCACCGTCAAAAACACACAAATATGGCTGATTGCTTTCGCAACAACGCTTAAATTTGAAGGTCTCTAGCAACCCTCTACCTGGGTTTTTCTGCCTTATATTAATTGGTTTCTATTAGTTTAAACATTTCTCTACCTGATTAACCTGAAAAATACCTGAATTTTGACAATTATTTTTGGATGTTTTGGACACTGTTTTCGGACCACTGTGCGTCGCGACGCGTCGGTACGTACCAGGATTCGCAGAGGTTGCTAATCCTTTGACACGTTTTACAGGTTTTTTATTTTATATTTGATCCACATCACATAGATATAATATGCGAAATTTAAATTATTATTATATTAAATGCAAATAAAAGTTGATAAACAGGAGCGTATTCGAGTTTTTTATTTTATTTATTTTATATTTGATAAATTAAGGCGTTTCTCGGAAAAACATCATTAGTCCAATATTGTCGAAATTTAGATATTAGCACCAACTGTTTCCTAACCTCCATATATACGTATACAAATAAGTGTTTCTCGTAAAAATGTCATAGGTTCCATAATAATTAAATATGAAATTTAGCTTGTTCTTCTAAAAACATCACAAGTCCACTCCGTTTCGTCTAAGAGAGTCACATGTGCATAACATGTGACGTTTTTGGACACTCTAGAAAAGCTTCTACCTCTTTTACATGACCACAGCAATATATTGCTATAGAAAATTTTATGATAACTTGTAAAAGACCATAGCACCTGACAGTCCTGATAACACGGTCGACAACGATGATAACAGCAGTGGATGCGAAGACTGAGTGTGGCAGTAATACAGTTTTTAGTTTTTTCATTTATTTTGTTACTCAGAGTTAATATTTAGTTTGTAGTGTTTGTAGTAAGGAGAATTGTTCGTTTTTTTCTTCTAAAAACCTCACATGTTCATGTATTTTTTTTGTTTTTTTCATATTCGTCGAAACAAAAAACATGAGGAATTCTGGACAAAGTATCTTACATTTTTTTACATGTAGTAAATAGGTCAATAAAGTACTTTGGTAAAAAATGGGAATGTCGGAGAGTTTTTTTCATTTTCTCAAATAAGTTAATTTTGGACTAATGATGTTTTTCCGAGAAACGCGTCAATTACATAGATCTGCGAAATTTAAATTATTATTAGGTGTATTAAATCTAAATAAAATAAAATCTTTTATTAATTATTATTACACAGGATGTATAATATAATAATATTATTACATAATTTATTTAATAATATTATTATACTATATTTGTGTCTTTATTTTAACCCAATAGGGTAACTATTTTTTTATTTCTGGCTTAAAAATTTTGTTATAAAAATAAATAAAAATGTATAGGTATGTTTCATATATGTTAATATAAATTATTAGCATCGAAAAATTTCCCATACACGTTACATAGGTGCGATTTGTAGGTACTTATGTATTAATAATTATGGAAATGGAAATATTATGAAAATCACATCACATATATGTGGTGTGTCTTTAGTCATCACATATATTCCATTCCATAATATTTGTGCTGTATTTTTTTATAATTTTCTTATTTTTATATACATTTAGAGGTTTGTCAATGGAAGCAATAAATATTAACTCTATTCCAATCCAATACAAGTTGTATTATACAACAACGGGCGGATCGGCCCACCTCGACACCGTGAAAAATCCAGGTGGACTGTTTCATAATAAAAGATAGACTCACTATAGACGAAGTCTGTCAGCTTTAACAATAAATAAATAATTACTTCAACTATAGCAAATAAAAATGTTTTAGATTTGTACTTTGTTCTTCAAAAACCCGTTTCTTATACCTGTAATACAGGTCCGGTATATATCTGAATTTTATAAGAGTTAAGTTTCTAATAGTAAATATATAAGTTTTTTTTTAAAGAAATGAAATAATATTGTGGCCTGCTTGACCTATGTTCCCTGACTGTTTTGACCGTCCCAATCCGCCCCTGTATACAACCCAGTAAATTCGGAAAACAAATTTTTATTCATTTGGTACCTACCGGCTCATTTTCACAAAGACAACAATACAACAAAAGACTTTTCTTCACAGCGTTCATTCTACGTTCCACAGTTCTAGAAACAATGACTTCTATTCTATATGGCTTCTATTCTCCGATCAAAATTAAATAATCATTAGGACTATTCATTTTTCATCGGATAATAGATTCCCAGGCGGCATTTCAGAGGTATAATAACCCAGCAATGTCCATTAAAGTGATATTTTTTAAATTAAAAATACGCTAATATTTACTTGCAAAAAAGAGATTTAATAAATTATTTAGTAATATGTGCAATAACATAAGGTGATACTGGACTGGATTCTAAATACCAATAAAATTTCGCCAATTAAAACATTATTATAGTGACAATACAATTCATTATAATTAGAACCAATAAAATGCCCGTATTCCATAGTAACGCATTTTATCACAGCGACAATATTTTTTATCACCTTGTTTACAAGTTGCTAAGGATTTTGACACTTTTAAATACTGTGTTTGTTAAATCCTAAAATTCATTATATTTTCACCCATAATACAAAAAGTGGTATGATTATCATCGATGATATTTTCGAATTGAAACCGAGCTGCAGATTTCACGAGTCCGCAGGACGAGTGAAAATGGCTGCTTCGGTTTTAATGAGTAAATATCATCGATTATTAGTCATACCACGAGTTATATTATATTAGTGAGACAATACAATTCATTAATATTAGAACCAATAAAATGCCAGTATTCCATAGTGACGTATTTTATCACAGCGGCAATAATTTTTATCATCTTGTTTACACGTTACTAAGAATTTTGACACTTTTTTTGATTTAACATCTGTTGTCATTTAAATTCTATATTTGATATATATCAAAGTCTTTTTATATTTTAAAGCACATTTTAATTTTAAATGTCAATCTGACAATTTTTTTAATTCCTAAAATTCATTATATTTTCTCACTAAATATAACTCGTGGTATGATTAATTATCGATGATATTTACTCATTAAAACCGAAGCAGCACATTTCACTCGTCCTGCGGATCGATGATAATCATACCACTTGTTATATTATGGGTGAAAATATAATAAATTTTAGGATTTAACGATTTGTCAGTTTGACATTTGAAATTAAAATGTAAAAATATAAAAAGACTTTAATAAACCTTATTTATTCAAAATTACCTTAATTTTATTATCGCTTACACCAACCCATCGATCTTTTAGAGTTTATAATTCATTATTTTAATCATTTTACAAATACAGTATTTAAATGTCAACAAATGTCAAATCAAGAAAAGTGTCAAAATCCTTGGCAACGTGTAAACAAGGTGATAAAAAATATTGTCGCTGTGATAAAATGCGTAACCATGGAATACTGGCATTTTATTGGTTCTAATATTAATGAATTGTATTGTCTCACTAAATATAACTCGTAGTATGATTAATTATCGATATTTACTCATTGAAACCGACTCGTGAAATCTGCAGCTCGGTTTCAATTCGACTATTTCCCTCGTCTTAATTTCCACCAATCACAAACGCGCAATTTTGAATTACAAATGGTTTCTAGGTGAAAAAACTGTGTGACAGCACCTGTCAGCAGTTTTTTCAAGTTTACCCGCGGCAAAACTTGACAGCTGTTGTCACCAAAAATTGCAATTTATATTTTAATTGTTAACTGTTACTTGTGAGGTTGGTATATAAAACTACAAGTGTAAAGTGGTAACTGGCCTTTATTTAAAGTGCGCGGCCTTATATACATTGGATTCAGTTGTGCCAACCTGACATCTCCCCTTTTAACAAAAAACATTTAACAATTTAAAACTTACATCTATCACAGTAACATTCCTTAAACTAATATCACAGAACAAGGCATAATAATATATTTATGTAAAAACACCTATACAATAATTACAATTTTTGTAAATTAATATATTTTGTACTATTTTCTTTTTTAAATACATAACAATAATACCCTATAGTGTATTTATATATAATATAAATCATTTTTTATAAATAATTTGTATTCCTCTTTTTATGAAAATGAGTGATGGCAACTCGTGTAGAAAATGTTAAATAAATTAATTAATCTAAATGATTTATGTAATCATTAAATTTTTGTGGATTTTTACTTACTCTTCCACTTCTAGTTTTGTACTCCATGTTATTTTTCAGACAATTTTCTGAAATTAAGGTATCACTCTTAAATTGAACTTCTTTTTGTGTTACTGGATTTTTTCCAGAATAACCCAAGCTAGTGGTAGATGGGGCACTCTGCAAAAATTCCTCATTTTCTAAGAAATGTTGATCAGGCAAAATATTCACATTTTTTGTCGAGTTACCATCTCCTTCCTTAGAAGATCTGTCATTTTCCTGTGATAAGTTATCACTACAAACTTTAATATATTTTTTCTCTAAAAAGTTAAATTTAGGGCTTGAAAATGAATCAGATTTTTTATTTTTATTTATATGAGTTTCCTTATGTTTAGCTACTTTCAAAAATCTTCTGTTTCTTACTAAAATTGATCCATTTTCAGCCTTAATTTTATATGACCTTAATCCTACTTTATACAATATAATAGCCTTTTCCCAATCACCACCTAGTTCTCTTTGAAAATAGATTAAGGTATTATTTTTAAGGGGTTCAAGGGGTTTTACACCTTTTTTGTCATAGTAATATTTTTGGTTTATTTTAGATTTATTTAAAAAGTCGTCATATTTATTTTTATTACAT